ATATATGCGATCGACTTCTAGTTCTACCCGGACAACCGCTTGTTCCTATCCAGTGGCACGTTTCGACATTGCCCTCGATGGACGTCAGCGTGGTCCATCAGCCAGAAGCTATTGTTGACATAAATCGGTTTAAAATTGCCGGTTTTTTAATCACCTGCGTTCAGTCTGATCGTGCGTTAGTTTTAATGTGCTCTGCGCTTTGAATCAATTAATGGTCGGCAATGAAATGCAACACCATCGCACGTTTCATCCAGTCTTTTGTGTTTCCTGTGATATAGAGCTAAGGTATGAGCCAAGAACTATGCAATGTGGTGAAGTATATGTATAGTGCAATCGGATTGGGCGTGTAGTGCATTGCGTAGTGAACGTTGACTGTCTGTCCGAGCCCGCCTGAGGCATCGGATTTCTTAGGAATCAGTTATCCTGATAGAGAAAAGCGACAAATACAAATCGACCAGGTTGAACCAGGAGTAGGTGGCATTTGCGTTTGGTCATGAAGAGCCTCAAGGAGGACCATGGAAATTGGTGGCTTTAAATCGCTAGTGAATGCAAGTAATCTTCATATCAGGGGATAGTCAAAAACTGTTCCAACTGTTGCGCAATACCGGAGGTGTGTGGATCCCGGTTAATGAAACAATCTGGACTAGCCGTTTACCATAAATAACGACGATGTGATCGCTGCCTGTTGAACCTGAAACTTCATGGGCAATTTCTTCCGAAGTAGCAATTCGATCTTGCATTCAGTTTTTGAAGAGAGGGTGTCAACTAGACCTGACGGATTTCTATCCTCTCTTGCCAAGACGAGCTGTAATAAATGACTTCCGCACATCACCTGGTTGCAAAAGCGTATTCCCTCATTCGGAAGTGACTCCGACATGTTGGTAATAAATGGGTAGCAATAGAAAAGCTGCACAATTGGTGGTATTCTGAACTTGAACTTGCAAGTAGAAGACTGTCATTGACTAAAATGTTTTGACACCCGGTGTTTGCATAGTTTTGCACAAGTAGAGCTAAGCAAGCGGGGAAACAATTTTGAGGTAAATTGTCGTATGTTGGATTATTTTTCGGTGGAAAATACGTCGACTTCGATTGGGTAAGCTTCGCTGGTTTGGATACGTATTGTGCATGCTTAGCACTGCTCCTTGTTTGCCACTCCAATTTAAAGGAAAGTACTTAGAGTTCAACGCTGAAATCAGGTGTGAAGAACTACACTTAATGCTTAGATAGAGCAGGTGTATGCAGTCCTCCGGGCTGGAATCTAAAAGACTGAAGTTTTTAGGTTCAGAGACCCTGGAGAACGTGAAAGCGGATCGACAGCGGTGGCGTTCTTGTTTTCACTTATCAGACCAAAATGCTTGAAAGTTATGTATACACAGTAAAACTGTGTACTCTGTTATAAGTTCCACTTCCTCCTAAACGGGTTTACTCTGCCGTCCGACTTTCCTCGTATATCTGAGTTAATTAGCGACCACTGAAGGTCACTTCACTGCATTTTTCTGTACCACGATAATCATGATGGTTATCATCCTCACTTCAACAGAGTAAACGATTTTATTCAAACATTAATTTCACTGAAGGACATTTACAGGTGTTGGAAACAGTATGTTTATTGATAACAGATACACGTATGAGCGCCACAGAGTGAACTTCAGCTGTTAGGTTATGATCAGTCACTAGCAACAATGGGGCCAGCGTAATCGACGATTGCATGCACTGAAGGATACAGATGACTGTCGTAAATAGTGTTTTTCGTACATCTACGCCTTGCAACCTTAGTCGTCCTCAGTTCTCTCTTTTCACAATGACACTGCCTCTAACATTCCAATTTTATCTCTTGTTCGTGCAAATAAGAAACCGAAAGACATTTAAAATGAATCTGAAACACTCCCAAGATTTCGCACATTAAGGTTTACATAAGGTGCTAGTTATTTCCACTGGAACCCACAGTAAACTGTTTTACCATAATCTCTGTATTGATTAACAGTTCGTGTTTGTGTTTGTCTTGGATGGATCAATCCGGATTCTCCATAATTCATTCTGCTTCCTTTTCAAAGATATTCTAATTCTGGTCAACCAAGGTCAACAACCCAAGATCCAAGTCATTGAACGTTCAAGCCAATCCATATCACAGTTCCCAGATGCATCAAATGCTAAAATGATTGATCTTCCACAGGAGTTGCTATCCAGTGCTCAGCTCACATTAGGTCTCTTCGTCCTTGTCGATTTCGGTGAGTCCGAGTTTCGTAATTCCTTCAACTACCGTCGAGTTTTAAGCGTGTGGTATTATGGATCCAGCTCAAGTAATTATCCGTCTCTCAATTGAAAATTCCACTCGGTTCTGTTAGTAACTGGTCTATGCACAACAAACAGATCGTAACTATTCGTTCGTGGTTGGTGTTTAGTGCACCGTTTGTTCATCCCTGCTGACCGGTTTCATGCCTTAACTGTAGACAGGGACGTAAACGGTCACCAGCCAAATTATAGTGTCGTCTAACGTTTTTACAGATTCAATGGCATTATTATTACATTATATGTATATATTTAGAATAAATGAATATTATTGTATAATATTTTTGAAGTCATTTAGATACTACGCTTTTTAAAATATCCTATAAAAGTGCTTAATTTACGTTTGTTATGGTTAGTATCACCTAACCCAACTACAGAACTTCGAATCATAGTATTGATTCTAGTTACGAAAGATGTGTCCACACAAATATGCCCGGCGTTGCAAATGAGATATTTGTGTTGAAAATATCCATCATGGATACAAGTATATGAATGTGCTGATAACGGATATTTGGATACACATGTCTGATAAACGGCGAAACCGATCGCATGCGTCTAGGGGAGCCTTTTTATTCATTCCTATAATATATATATTTGATAATACGTAGTATGTGAATGACTGGACAAAATTTCCCTGGAAGCACAAGTCCGGTTTCGCGGTTCTTGCCGCTCGTCAGGCATGCGTATCCGGTAATCTTTTGTCAGTTCATTCATATTCTTGTACCCAGGAAGTGTATTTTCGTCACAATAACCTTGTTTGCAACGCCGGGTGACCATTGGATAGACAGCTCTTTCAGAGCCAGTCCAATGAAGACCAATGAAGAATCAATGCTATGATACGATGTTTTTTGTAAGTGGGTTAGATGCTACTAACCGCAACAAACGTGACCTGATGGTCTTGGTGGAATATATATATATATATATATATCACAATGTGCTAAACGAATCATGGTACAGGAATCTCTGTTGTAAAGAAGAAGTTTGTGATTTAAGTTCCACGTTTAAATTGTGGGCGGAATCCTGCCTGGTTGCTCAGGCCAAGGCAGGTTAATTTTCTTTGGGAATTCAGAACCGACGAGCCAAAACCTGACGCGTAAGATAGCCGGGCGGTTTGTAAAGACTGCAGTTCGTTGATGGCCAGCGTTCAGTTCACATAGTCATACGCCCTTTAAACGGGGGTCGGACATCCATGGTGTTCAATACACCTCGAT